TGGGCTTATTCCTTCTAAATGAATATTTCAGTTTCTAATATGATAAATATTAAAATATAGGCTGAGCGCAGTGGTCCAAGCCTGTAATCCCAGCACTTTGGGAGGCTGAGGCAGGAGGATCGCTTGAGCCCAGGAGTTCAAGACCAGCCTGGGCAATATAGTGAGACCCCCATCTCTAAACAAAATTTAAAAATAAAAAATCGAATATTGAAATACATATATATCCCCTTTTTCTAACTGAAGATTCCAAAGAGCTTTTTCAAGTACATAAAGAAATCCTGAGCCCAAAAACTCTGAGCACTGCTGGTCTAGAGAAGCATTAGGGTCCAGCTTATCTATGAGGGCTCCGAAGGACAAGGTCCTTTGTATTGTAAGGCCTAAAAGAAACTAGCACTCTCAGTATTTGTTCCCAATTCTGCCAGAAGAGAAGGTAAGAAGTAAAAGGCATTAAAGGAAAACCTTTTATCTACAATCTACTGACTTTTGGTGATTTACCAAAGCACCTGATCTCAGGCTAAAATCCAGACATTATGATCAGACAATTCCAAGGTCATAGAAGGAATCTAGTGAGAAAGATTCTAAATCTAACTAAATTAGGAATCTAGTGAGAAAGATTCTAAATCTAACTCCAAATTATGAGTATCAGATAGATTCTGAAGTTAAGGCTTCATCTAGATATAGATTTTCAGCAAGTAACAACTTGCTATTCACACATATTAATTTCTGTATCTGGTTATGTATTCTCTCTGTCCCCTTCTTCCTTCCTCTTTCCTCTACCTGTCCTTTCAATGTTGGTGTTCTTCTGAGTTCAGATTTCTCACTCTGCCTGGCACACAGTGAGCACTCAACAAGTGGCAGCTGCCATTATTACCTCTCTCCCAGAACCATCCCTTCCATGTCATGGCTTCAACCACCTCCTATATTCTCAACTCTATCATCACCCAGGCCTCTCTTGTGAGCTCCAGATCTACAAAATGGACTCCTGGGCCTTTCTACCTGGATGTGCTGCTGCATCACCACCCACATGGTCACTGAAATCAGAAACCTACAATCATTCTACACTGCTCCTTGTCCCATTCTCCTACCTCTATTCTGCCACCAGGTTTTGTCAACACTACCATGGTTAAATCTCTCTAAACCCTCTCCATTTCCACTAGAGCAACCATAAAGCCTTCATCATCTCTAGTCTAGGCCACTATAATAGCTTTCCATTGGCTCCCTGCCTCCAATCTAAAATTCTTCCTATTCAACCAACATATTGACACTACAGTAATCTTAAACCCAAATCTGACATTATTTTTCTGCTAATTGTCTTCCTGTGGTTTTCCTGGAACATACTCTTTACTTGATTTTACTCATGTATCCCTAAAAGAATTTTTTTTTTTTTTTTTGAGATGGAGTCTCACTCTGTCCCCAGACTGGAGTGCAGTGGCATGATCTCGGCTCACTGCAAGCTCCACCTCCCAGGTTCACGCCATTCTCCTGCCTCAGCCTCCCGAGTAGCTGGGACTACAGGCGCTCGCCACCAAGCCTGGCTAATTTTTTGTATTTTTTAGTAGAGACGGGTTTTCACTGTGTTAGCCAGGATGGTCTCGATCTCCAGACCTCGTGATCCGCCTGCCTCGGCCTCCCAAAGTGCTAGGATTACAGGCGTGAGCCACCGCGCCCAGCCCCTAAAAGAATTTTTAAAACCATGTGTTCCTTACATATGAGGTAACATCTAGACCAGACACAGTGGTTCACTCCTGTAATCCCAGCACTTTGGGAAGCTGAGGCAGGAGGATCACCTGGGCCCAGGAATTTGAGACCAGCATAGGCAACATAGCGAGACACCTATCACTACTAAACATTTTTAAAAATTAGCCAGGTGGGTGGCGCATGGCTATAGTCTCAGCTACTCAGGAGGGTGAGACAGGAGGATTGTTTGAATCCAGGAGTTGGAGTTTACAGTGAGCTATGATCACACCATGGCACTCCAGCCTGGATAACCTCCTGGGCTCAATACATCCTGCCACCTCAGCCTACAAACAGCTGGGACTACAGGAGCATGCCACCATGCTTGTCTAATTTTTATATTGTTTTTTGTAGAGAAGAGGTTTCACCATGTTGCCCAGGCTGGTCTCGGATTCCTGGGCTCAAGCAATTAGCCTGCCTAGGCCTCCCAAAGTGTTGGATTTACAGGTGTGACCCAACACACTCGGTCTTAAAAATAGGTATTAACTATCTTACTGAGTAACACACACTTAAACTAAATCTCTTTAAAAATTTTACAAGTTTTATCCAAAATAACTTAAAAACCCCATTGTCCCAAAAGACATTCCCATTACATTTAACTACTGTGTTCTTTTCAGAATATCCTAACAAGGAACACGCTTTACACTAATGGGATTGTGTATTGGGAAGCCTTCTGTGTTAGGAGGTAACTTAAATCACTAAAGGAGGTGTTCCTGAAAATAAGTAATTCCAAAGTATTCCTTGTTTGTATCTGAGGACATTTTTACACTCAGGTCAATACACCATAGTAAAATTTAGGAAGTGTGAGGGATTTGCCACACACAGCCTCCTCCCCTTTTTTTGTAAGGGCAGTTGTAGAAAAAGAGTTCATTGGGGCCGGGCACAGTGGCTCACGCCTGTAATCCCAACACTTTGGGAAGCTGAGGCGGGTGGATCACGAGGTCAAGAGTTTGAGACCAGCCTGGCTAAGATGGTGAAACCCCATCTCTACTAAAAAATACAAAAAACTAACCGGGCGTGGCAGCATGCGCCTCTAATCCCAGCTACTCGGGAGAATGAGGCAGGAGAATCACCTGAACCCGGGAGGTGGAGGTTGCAGAGAGCCAAGATCGCACCATTGCACTCCAACCTAGGCGACAGAGCAAGACTGTCTCAAAAAAAAAAAAAAAAGAGTTCATTGGGAAGCTGACGATCTGGAAACGTACTCATCTAAAGCTAGATGAGCAAGTGTATCCTTTGGGAGTCTAGGACCCTAATTACTTCACCTTGAAAACCACTGTTCCAGGAATGTAGTTCTAACTCAGTAAAACATCCAAGGCCCTTTGTGATCTAACCCCTACTAACTTCCCTCTTCCTGGATGGCTCCCTCCAAATGTAGCTCAGGTCTGTCAAACTGTTTCCAGTTCTCTTTTCAGGACTTGCTGTATCTTTCCTAAATCCACTGTGTATATGGAATGTCCTCCCACCTCTTTACTACCAGAAAACACTTGATAATTTTTCAAGGATTGATTCAGTCCAATGAATAAGTAGCTGCTAACTTTCTGAGCACAAAGTGGGTGGTTTAAATGCAAACAGTGTCTCAGTACTCAGTGCAAGAAACGGAAGAATGGGATGGAACACTATCCCAAAGGGTCCCCCAAATGCTTATTGATTGGCTAAATCAACAGATGTTGCAGTTAAGGAATAGGTGATTTGGAGTATCTGAGAAAGCAAAGACGATTCCATCTAGGAAGCATTAAAATATTTCCTAGATCCAGAATGGGAATGTGAAGACCAGGAGGAATGGGAATAATGTCGTTTTCTAAGTAAGTCCGGATTAAGTATTTCCTGTTCTATCACAGCACACACCACAGTATGGCAAATGCTCGTTTACTTGATTAATAAACTCCTAGACTATAAATTCCATGAAAACATGCTTGTCCTATTAGCCACTCTATCCCCTCAATCCCTTCCATTGTACCCAGGCTCATTAAATACTTGTCAATGTTTACTAAAAATTGTTTAGTGAATGATTAAAGGAATGGATGAATGAAGAATTAAATTCCACAGGATCTCAGATCCTGTTTGAATCTGCAGAGTTTAGGAACGTATTCCTCTACAGATACTGAGGATGGAGAAGTAAAAATGTAGATATCCATGTTAAATTCGGCCCTGGAGCCTGCGAGGAGCTTAGGCTCACACCCAGAGAGAATTTAAACCTCAGCACGGCGGGACAGAGGTGGCTCGGAGGCCAGGACTAGGGGATGGGGCAGGGTTCGGGCATCCGGAGGCGAGGCCGACTAAGTTCGCGGGGCGTGGCGGAGAGGAGAAGGGCTCCGAGGAGGCGCGAAGTCCCGGCCACCCGAGGCCGCGGCTCCCTGGCCTCCCGGGTGATGAGAGGTGGAGGGAGGAAGCGGGGCTAGGGTGAGACTGGCCGGAGGGCTGGGGACCCGCGCGAAAGGACTCCGGTAGAGGGAGGTCGGGAGCGTGGGACCGGTGGAGGGTCTGGGGTCGGTTCCCGTGGCTCCGCAGCCGCACTCACCTAGGGGATCCACCTTCGCCCCGGCTCGGCACCGGCTCCACGCTACTTCCTCCCTCGGCCTGCTAGGCTACCAGGCAGCCTCAGGCGCCCCTAGCAACCACGCACCGCCACGCGTGACCCGCGCACTCGGCCGCCAGCGCCGCTGCCGCCTGC